ATGATTTTACTTCTTCGGGATTGAAATTACATTTATTAAGAAAACAATGAATTCTAGATGACATGGGTACATTATTGACCACATACTTACGAACCTTTTTCCGTATTTTTCTGCTTTTGTGCAAAAGTTGGGTGAGTCGTTTAACTGGGACTCTACTTGGTTCTCGATCACGCGAAACGACACGAGGCTTGTGCTCAACATACTGATGAATATGAAATTTAGCATAACGAGACCTGCATTCCTCTAATAAATGTGACTCTTTATTGGGATAAACAAATACAGATAATTGTACAGCTTTTTCAAACACATCGCAGTCATTTTGTAAAAAATCTACGAAAGTCTTGGTCGAGGTATTTATGAAATGTACAACAAGAACCATGCATAGGGCAGCGATCAACACTCTCGCTACTGATAGTTCAAAGAACGATAGAGTATTAAAAAATATATTCAAAATCGTAAACGAAAACAATACAATAAATAAAAGACTTATCCTCACTGTCAATGATATATGTCCAAGGCTTCTTGATTCTGGAAACGCATTAAATGTTATCTTGGAAGACTTCAATATGGCGTCCATGTTGTTTGGGATATTCAGTTTCCTGTCTTTCTCATCTTCTTTGTCAATGAAGTTYCTGCTTACTAAAGAGTTAGTATTTGTTCTTTCGTTCGAGTGTCTTTGAGTACATTTGACTTTGTATTCGTTTGAGTTTCTTTGGTATTGCTTTGAGTATATTTGGCATTGCTTTGAGTATTATTCTTTCTGGTATTCTTTTGGGTTTTGAGTTCGCGGAACGACCCGTTTCGAAACTGACGCTCGACATCTTTTAGAGTGGGTCTACCGTGAACGGCGTGTGCTTTTGTATGTATTTTGAGCGCCTCAGCAGAACAGCAAGTCGCCATTACTTTCCAATAAGTTTTCAAGACAAAGCACGAGAAGCAGCTAGCAAGATAAGCAAAAGGAAAAAGACCTACAGAACCTTCGAAAAGCAAAGCAAGGCACATGACTTGTGGTAACCCGCCTCGTTTTCATACTTGCAGGGGAACACCGCAGACCGCCGAGCATCGCAGGCTTACACACTTTTGACAACGTTGATAGATAGATAGATAGATAGATAGAAAACCGAAACGTAGACCCGGTCTACCTTGCAGGTAGCCCGAGTAAAAATGTATTTATTACTTTTGCAATATCTTCGATTTATAGTCTTCGTTTATGGATGATGTGGTACAACATAAGACCCTGGACCATGAACTTCCTGTCACCATATTGCAATCCTGCCTCGAACAAGTATGGCATGAGATTTGCTTTCAAGGCCTCCAGTGTCTTCTCACGCTGGGGAATTTGGCTGCCAAAAGTGGCCAAATTGAGCCCACAATATGTTGGTCAGCTGTAATACCCCACACCTAGCATAGTACTTCATGAGTTGGGAATTTGAAATGCGATGTACGTGTCGGCACTCAATTTGTGTAGGAATGAAGTATTAACATTCCTGATTCGATCAAATTCAAAATGGCTACCGTCTTCAAGAATACAGTCCTTGGTGCTCTAAATGTTGCTCAGTCTGAGCTATTGTCTCAGAGCAGTTCAGATGCTGCAAGTGTGGAGGAGGCCTTGAAAGAGCTCAAAAGTCTTTTGGAGCCGATTGCTGAGAGCCATTTCGGGGAATTGAGGTCAAAACATAAGCATCACGTTGGCCAATACTTCCCGATGCTTCAACGAATGGCTGAGCGATGGTACAAGCAATTTATGCGCCGAATGTCTTTTAGATGTGCGCCCAGAAATCCTTGGAAAGTTATTTTGGAAGTTGATCTGCCTAATGAATTATTTGCTTTGATGAGAACAGTAACTTCCAGAACAAATTACGGCTTGTACACCGGCGAGACAAAAAGAAAGAAGAAGGTTGTCCTAGCTTTTACTTCTTTTGCAAGAGTAAGAAGTCTTTTTAACAAAATAATGAACACTTCTTACTCAGATGAGGAGTTCCTCAAGAAGAAATTTAAAGATTCGAAGAGAATAGAGGCTATCATAGATGAAGATAAGCAATTTGGTATGACTTATGATTGTACTAAAGAAATTTTACAATTTGATTTTCATTATGGTGTTTGGAATGAGCACAACTTTCCAAAACACATATAACTAACATGTAACAATCACATGAGTTAAGTGCACACACATAACCCATAAATAATAACTAGTACTAGTTGACACAAAAAAAAAAAAGTTTCCTCTTGTCAGCTACTATTTAGTTACTACTTTATGTCATGTGTTTATGGGTTTAGTGTGTGCACTTTATTTGTTGATAATTACCGGTAGAATATTTACTTCTAGAATTCAAAATACTGATTTGTTTTGTTTTAGAGTATTCACACTAAATTCATGAAACAAATAGCACTTCAGTATTAACAAGTCTTGACACGGGAAAACGTGTCAATGTGCTGGGCAAATTGAATACTTTGAATGGAGTAAAAGAATATTTGGGATTTAGTCATTGTAAGACAGAAGAAAGTCCGTGGATTCGGTTGGACTAAAAATAGCGTATTTTGTAATTCGCTTCTATGGTGGAACGGTTAGAGCATGGGGTTGCGGCGAAATGAAAAAAAGAGAGAGAGATGTAAGAGAGAAAAATTGGTGCGACTTTGGAAGGTAAAAAGRAAAGAAAAAAATATTTGTGTCAAGTAAGGAAATGATTTCGTGTACAAACGGGACAAACAAATCATGCAAGGTGAAAATCACTCCGTACTAGCTCCCTGCCGTCCRTCGTCCCTCTCCATCAATTTTCAAATCTTAGTCCGGTTTACTGGTGAAGCGCGGTTTTGTAGGGTTGTGAGCATGAACATAAATTTGGTTAATTATATAGCGTAAAAAGCCGGCACATTCACTCCCCTCGTCGTTCACGACGAGGGGAGTGAACGTGCCGGCTTTTTACTCAGGCTAGCAATACCACAGGGAGCCCGGCTTAGTGATGCTAAATCGGTAAAACGATCATGTTTCATATGTTGATGACATTACATAATAATCGTAACTCAATACACCCATGACAAATGGTCACAACGTAATAGAACACCAGTGTTTGTAACGCGTACTAGTACCGTAATAAATTCAAATTCAAATATGTAACGGCTAAGTGTAACGCACCCGTCTAAAACTATTGCATTACAAGTAGCGTAGTGACCGTTTGTATATGGGTGTATTGAGTTACGATTATTATGTAATGTCATCAACATATGAAACATGATCGTTTTACCGATTTAGCATCACTAAGCCGGGCTCCCTGTGGCAATAAGGGATTGCAGTATCATACTTGTACTTAGTCTTACTCGGACTGCTTGGCTGMTTGTTCAAAATGGCGAGTATTCAAACGCAATGTGAGCTATTTTTCTAATRTTCAGCAAACAGAAAAACGTAATATGGAGGAATTTGTTGTAGAAATTAAAGTTTGTTAACAGCTGTTGCTATAAAGTTCRGCAAGGAGAAAAAACAAATGTAAAAACATTGATAGAAACGTTTTATAGGGAGGTGATCGGGGAGGTGATGCAAGATGAGACAGGTAAGCTTAATACGTTTATGTTGTGGAGTCGTATAATACATCGCTTTTCATAGATATAAGTTATCTTTATTATCAAAATGTTAAACAATAAATAATGTTTTGTGGTGATTGCAAAAACGCGTTAAACAATGAATGTACTGATTCTTGAAAAAGGATGCACTGATGGTTAACTTATTGTTGTTATTTTCGTCTCTCTTATATTTGACGGGYTAATTGTAATCATTCTAGGGATTATGTCACATTATAATGTTCAACTCTTTGCTCAATTGCTATGCAGAAAATTAGAACAGAAACGTCTGTGAACAAACAACTTGAGCTTAATAACCTAACTAAGCTTTAGTAGTAGCTTACAACTGAAATGCATGCACCTACATGTACCTATACATACAATGTTTAACCCCAAAGAGTCAAAATCTGTACCTTGATCTTTAGCGTTGCC